GCAAAGCAGCAGCAAAGCAGCAGCAAAGCAGCAGCAAAGCAGCAGCAGCAGCAGCAGCAAAGCAGCAGCAGCAGCAGCAGCAGCAAAGTAGCAGCAAAGCAGCAGCAAAGCAGCAGCAAAGCAGCAGCAAAGCAGCAGCAGCAAAGCAGCAGCAGCAGCAGCAAAGCAGCAGCAAAGCAGCAGCAGCAAAGGCAGCAGCAAGCAGCAGCAGTGTTGCGTTGCAACAAGTGCAGCAACCCTGAACCGCATGAATGGCATCAACCGTACCATGACACGAGTTGGGGCAGCGTGACAATAGTATAGTTAATATAAGATGCACAAAGGGAAAACTCAACTACTGCCATGCTTCCACCAAACATCACCAAACTCTTCATCACCCGCTTCCCCCACCGAACTCTTCACTCATGCCATCGCTATTAGGTTGGAGGCCATCGCTAGTAGGTTGCAGGCCATTGCTATTTAGGTTGGAGGCCATCACTAGTATGGAATTGTATCTGTTGTTAACACGGCAAAGCCCACCTCTCTCGACGGAATGAGAGAACAGCAAGGAGGCGTGGTTTACTACGGTGCCACTTGCGAGGTGCTTGAGGTCATACTCACCTGACAAAATGGAGAAAGTGAAGGCATCCAACTAATTCATGGAAAAAAAGACGGGGCGTTGCTGATGTCGTCTGCCAAGCTGCATCCAACTGATTGCCCCATGATGCAAACATTTCGGCCAATCTTTGCTCCCATGAGCCAATACCAAGCAGAGATGAAGCTAGTGCCGCACCTGAGATGGGCGATGGCGATCGATAGCGCAGGTGGCCTAGGGACTCCATGCTTCGAAGTCTTCGAGGACGAGCTACAAGCTCTGTAGGAAGAGTTGATCGGCATCGAAGAGCACCGCCTCCAAGGCGATCCATATGACGTAGCGAAAACCGAAGAGGTGTATCTCTCCTCAGATGAAGCTGAATCAAGTGAAGGGTCAAAGAATTGCAGGGCTACAGTAGCCCGTCTACTCAATCAACAATGAATCCAATCTGACTTGTGGATGATCCACCAGATCACGCCTTGAGCAGCGCTGACATGTGACAATCTGTCCACTCTGCGGACATTTGCCAAGGCTCTTGGGCTGAACTTGCATGCCACGGCCCACTTGAAGACCGGTATCAGCAAAATCTTGGACCTAGAATGCACCGTTGCTTCGAGTGAACGCACAGGGGGTCTAGACCCATGCACTGGTCAATAAAGAAGTTGCCTACCCTTCACAAAGTTTGAGGTTTTGTGGGGCTGGGAGTCTGGGAGCACATAGTGCCAATGCCTTTGCAAAGTGGCGTCATGGTCAAGAGAAACATGACGGGAAGGAAGGGCCAGGTGCCAACTTCGCTTGGGAGAGCTCCTTCCACACTATTCAGCAGCAATCCTGCTGCGAGGTATCCTGCAGGTCTGCAAAACAAGGAGGAAGGTGTTCCATATCTAAAAAACATGGGTGAAATTCAGCTGACAGTGAGTCCTGGAATATGAGTGCCTACAACCAGGACCAGCTGCAATAAGATCAGCAAAACCTGCAGTTTTGAGAAATGAATGGAGCCCCGTTCGTAGCATCCTTTGCTCCTAGTAGTAAGGCCAGGAGCCCCTAGTAGCATCCTCGATAAATTAGAGATAAGCAGAGAGCAGATGCCGTTTATTTACACTGACCAAAAGTGGTGCTACTAGGAGCAAGGACGCTACTAGGGGTCCTGGCATCGCTACTAGGAGCAAGGATGCTACTAGGTGCTCTCTTTTAAATCAACGTGAACCGACTTCCATCCATGTCCATGCAATACAGCCTGATAGTATGTATAGCTGCACGTTGTGGCAGGGGACACTTGCGAGATGCTCCTGAGATTAGCTGACGAAAAAAGCCCAGCAGAATCTGTAGGCAAAAAATCTATATCCTTTCCTAAATCAATAACAGATCATAAATAATGACTTAGTAGGGATGGCCTCCAACCTACTAACGATGGCCTCCAACCCAGAAGCGATCCAACCTACTAGCGATGGCCTCGAACCTAATAGCGATGGCCTCCAACCTACTAGCGATGGCCTCCAACCTAGAAGTGATGGCCTCCAACCTACTAGCGATGGCCTCCAACCTAGAAGCGATGGCCTCCAACCTACTAGCGATGGCCTCCAACCTAGAAGCGATGGCTTTCAATCAAAGAAAGATCAAAAATAGAAACTAACTGTTCAAGTTCATTCGCAGTTGACTAAACAGGCTAAGCTACTGCCGTTTCATCATGATATAGGGCAACGTATCTGAGTTGTCGCGGACCGCAACCATGCATTCCGTAAGCACCTGGACGATCAGCTGGATCCGCTGGATCGCACTGTGCTAACTACTAGCGATGGCCTCCAACCTAGAAGAGATCCAACCTAGTAGCGATGGCCTCCAACTGACTAGCGATGGCCTCCAACCTAATCGCGTCTCCCCCCAATAGTGTTGGCCTCCAACCTATCAGCGACGGCCTCCAACCTAGTCAACTTTCATTGTTCCAAGATCTGAGACACCTTGTCAGGCGGCATGCTGACACCATCGCCCACAATACTTTCCTGGAATTCAATGCTTGAGTGGCATGAAATGAATCTGAATCTAGTGGCATGGTGTTTGCGATAGAGGCGTGCAGGCATTCTTCGACCATTTGTTATAAGCTAGAAGAAAGCTTTTCACTGGCTGACCACAGCCTCCAGCACATCGCAACCGCAATGCAGAACCACTGTGTTCGCCACCTCACAATCAACCAAGTTCTGTTTCGTCACTGCAGTGTAGCTTCAAGCCAAGAGGCAATTGCTTTGTTCTTGAGCCTTATGGGGTTGGCATAGGGCTCGTCTAAGCTTGTGGTAAGCATAGCAACGTTGCCTTGCATCAAAAGCAATCAGAGATCAAAGCTACGAGGTAAGTCCTGCAACCACTGCGAAGCTACAGCAATCTCTGGTCCGCCTGCAACGATACAGTTGTCGCCAATTTCCACCAGTTCTGGATCGCGGATGAAGGGTGCACAGAAATATGCCTTGGAATCAATCTGTCGGACCAGGGCTTAAAAGTGAACTAAATCTCAAGAAGAACGCTCTGGCCAAGGTGCCCGATCGCCAATTTTGCATCCCAGCAGCTTAAATTGCCATTTGGTCAAATGGCTCATCACCTCAAGACAAAACACAAGTTCAGCACCAGGCTGGTGAAGCTCGTCTTCAAATTGAAGTTGTTTTCGAAGCTTCATCTCAGGCAATCCCAAGGCACTGTGAACTGGGTCGCCATGCGAAAAAGTGGACCTAGAGATGGTTTTCTCGACATTTTCACGGAAAATTACCGGTAAAAAAGGATGCTCAAAGGGAATGGACCCAAAACGCCCAATCTCGACAGTTACTTCGACAGAAATGCTTCGATCAGAGTGTTTCAGAGAAAATTGTTGTAACTGTTCTATCTTAATTTGTCAACTTAAAAAAGACCCCAAACAGTGTGGTGGCAGTGGCGGTGGCGGTGGCGGTGGTTGACAAACCAGTGGCTGCTTTGTCCCGAGTTTTGGAGGTCTAGAGGTGGCACATACGAGGGCACAATCTGCTCCTCCCACAAAAGTTTTGCGCCTGCCACGCAATTTAGACTTCAGCATTGCACCCGCCACAAAACCTGCACTTCAAGGTCCACCAAGTGCTGCGC